TTTCAACTAATTTACAATATTAAAGGCTTGAGATGTAAATTCATTAACATTTTCAAGATAAATTATATTGATTGCATAATTAGAAAACTATGCTCGCAAACGAATTATTTGTGCAAGTATTCTTGCAAATGCCAAATTGCAAGTTAATAATAAGAATTGATATGACCATCTGGTCATGCATTTATTAAAATTATAAAATATCTAAATAGCCCACACAGTGGATGTATAAATTCACATATATCACCCTGAATATGTTTCAAAAAATGTAAAGGAGGTAGTTTCAACTTTAACTATTGATGGCCTTATAGTAAATTTGCCTTAAAGCAATCAACACATGAAAATTCATTAGATTGAAAAATCTTTTGATTTTTTAATAAATGATCACATTAATTTTCAATAATTTTTTACATCATTATTGATCTGAGATGGTCCAACCGGTCATACCAAGTATTAAAATCATTAGTAAGCTTCTGGTTTATTATACTATAAGTTTTAATCATTCTAATATTTGTATAGTAAAATCCATATAATAGAACGGGTAATTTTTTTTTCAACACACATTTGTTACTCGAAATAATATATGTAATATAGTGGTATTAAGTATTTTTTTCATTTATTCTCTCAATATGACATCCATTTTGATGAATATATTTAAAACTTAATAAATATCTTTGGGATGTTGAAAATAAGATATCCTCTATTATAAATTTTGTTCTTTAAGATAGTAAAATATTGACTTTTTTGAAGCTTTTAATTAATTTTGTATTACCAAATATTATATTGACATTGGTTTCTTCTATTGTCAAGTGGGAAAAATATTTCTTGTCTTTAAATATAGTGTGTATTGTAATAATGTTTGCAAGACATATTTATATCATGGATCTTGGATCTAACAAGATGAATATTCATATTTTTGTTCAATAAAATAAAATATATATAATAAGAAATTTACAAGTTAATATGAAAGAACAATAAATACATAATTAAAACACATAATAAGAACATATCATTTAAATATAATAAGAACATATTAAAGCATCTTCATAATATAGATATGCTAAAATATATAAATTACTATTAAGTTCATTCTCGAGTATTTCCATTATCAATCAAATGATCAATTTCTTTTTCAGGACAAGAAAATTAACAATGAATATATACATTACCAATCATATAATCAATTCCTTTTTTAGGATGGACAAACATCTTTATGTGCTATATCAACTTAACCATGATTAAAATCATTACAAAGTTTTTAGTGATGCTTGATAAAATTCAAAAAGTACAATAGGTATGTGACTAATGGTCTTTTATGCCACATCAATAACAATACGTTTTCTATATTCCTTTTATTCTTTCCACTTTTGTTTATTTATTATTCATCCATTTTTGATAGGTTACAAGTATCCATCCATTTTTAATGGGTGATCCATCTATTACGGGTTATCCACTTTTGGTGGATTATCCATTATTAGTGGGTCAGTGGGTTAAGGTATCTATCTACTTTTGATAGTAAAACTATCCTTAGAATAAAAATAATGATAGCGTACACTATTATAGCGATCATAATTACTAAATGATGTTACAATCACTTCAAGGAATGGATGGATTCATGACTATGACTATAATTATTAAATAATATTATACTCACTTCATGGAATAAATAGAGTTATAATTTTTTATTAGTAACTCGTTTGTCACATTAAGTTTAGGAAATGAACATTCATGATTTTCATTCATAGCTGCATAATAACAAATTCACTTTTCGATCAATGGACAAAATAAAATATATACTACATGATAGCAAAATTCATATTAATATTGATTTTTAAAGAATGAAAATATTAAAGAGATATCGAGTCACTTATTTGATTTATTATAACTAGAAATTAAAGACCAACTATTGAAATCCTTTTAACGCTTGGGGATGATAAAAACAAAATAATTTCAAAACTTGAGAGATCAGAGGATCGTATTGATAACTTGTTATGAAATAATCTTAAAAGAATAACTATAAGAGAAATATAAGAGAAAGTATTTAGAGGGAGTAAGAAGATCTTATTTAAGTGTGTTTACAAATGAAATGAAAAGGTCTATTTATAGTTAATAACCACTTATTTAGATTGAATTTACAAGATAAAGATCATATTAAGAGCATGTTTAGCTTGGCTTTTTTATAGCTTAAAATCTATTATAAAGCGCTTATGAAAAATAGTAGCTTTTAAAATTAAGTTAAAACTGTTTGTTAAATTTACTTTTTATAAGCTATTTTTTATAGATAAGCATTTTGACAAAACAACTTATGTAAATTTTAAGTTTGATTAAAATTATTATAAAGGGTATTGAATAAATCAAGACAAAAATTTGAATCAAATAAAAAAAGATGAGTGTGAAAAAAATATAATTTTCCCTAAAATATTAGGAATTGTTGAAAGATGAAAAAAGAATATAAAAAATATTTGTTGTGCTTTTTTAAAGATTGGCTTGAAATTTATGACCTTTGGAGTTGAAAAAAATTGATGTTACATATAATGAAGGAAACCTAAGGTGGTATTAATAATGGATCCAATGCCATTGATTTGACAACCTATTTTCCTATTGAAATTATCAATGCTAATTCCATGCAAATCTGTTAAGGTCTTGGTGTCCTCACCAATAAAGTTTCCCTCTATGAACAAGAAGGTTTTGGTTTTTATATATTTTTTATTTTTTAATGAGTTATTTATTTTGTCAAGGAGTGCCACATCATCTGTTGGGTACTATTAGCTCAAATGTTGAATTCATTGCTAAAAAGTTCAAGGATTCTGCAATTCATGTTGTCAAAGGAATTAAAGTTTATTTCAATTTTTTTGTAGTACAGCCTATTATTATACCTAAAAGAAAAAATTCTTTAAAACTGAGTTATCACAAATGAGTACAAATATCGATTTTTCAATTTTCTTCTAATTTATCTCAACAACCATTGACATATTTGATTACTTATTTCAATCATAATTAAAAAATATTATAGACACTAGAAAAAAGTTAAGAACAAATAAACATCACATAATTTTCATATCAAACAATAAACTAAGAAATATCAAACAATAAAAAAAGTTTTCAAAGCCAAACAAAGAAGGATAAAAAATAAAATAAAAAAAAAACAGAAAGAAAAAAAATAATATCTGAATGTAGTTTTGAATTTTGGGTTTTATTTTCTTTTAATCTTTATAAAACAAAAAAACCCTAAAAGGATGATTTATAGAAAAAAGGAAAGAAGAGGGAGATGGATAGGGAGAGGAAAAGGAGGTATTTTTTGAGATAGGATCTTTTTGGAAAAAAAATAACTTTCTTAAGAAGTTAGCTTGTTTTGTTTTGTTTTTTTTTAAAAAAGAGAAAGCTTCTATTAAGAGCTTTTTTGTTTTTTTTTTAAATTTTATTTTTTAAACAAAAACTATTTTTTAAGAGCTTCTCATAAAATACTGTTTGATCCAGCTTTTACTTTTAAGAAGTAGATAAGTTAAAAATAAACTAAGCCAAATAGGTACTAAGAGATTAGATGGATGGATTAAATCCTAAAATTGATCTAATCTAATTTATAGCTAAATCTAAATGTACATAGTATAAATGGATATTCACAAAAATATTCATAACAATTTTCTTGATAATTCCAACTTGGACCTAAAAACTTCGTTTTCGGGAAAAGTTTCATAATTGGTTTACAAATAAAATCTCTTTATCATTTATTCAACTTGATTAGCATTTGGAGAATTGAAAATACTTATATATTGTTAATTAAATTATGATGATCATATTTTTATTTATTTAATGTTTATCCAAACTCTATTATAAAATATTCAAATCTTATTTAACAATATGATCGTTGGAAAGATAACTTTGCAATACTTAGTATAATATGGGAAAATAATGATTATAGGAAATGCGATTGCTGAAAAGATTATATTGTAATGTTTGATTTGAAAACCTTTTTACTAGGAATGTAGTATAGCTTTATAAAATTACCCTTATGTATAAAAATATAAAGTTGAATAAATTTATATCGTTTAATGTAAAATTTTAACTTTTCAACTTTACATATATTAAAATAATAAATAATAACATGATAAAAATAATACAATATTTTACTATTAATTATTGAAATATTAAAAGATATAAAATTTCTAAATATTTATTTTTACCTTAAACTTACAAAAATTAAAAAAATAATATTTAGAATTATCTCATGAATAATAAATTTATTATCCAAAGAAAAATCTATGGATAGATCTCTCGTGGCCAAAAACACCTCTCCCTCTCAAATCCTCTCTATTCCTTAATAAATTTCCTTTGATTCTAAACCATTTAAAGTGTTTCTCTTTCAATTTTTTGCATCAAAAAAATAAATTTTTCTCAAAAAAGAACTCCACTTTTTTTTATCTAGTTCTTTTTTTTTTTTATCACCTTTCTTCTTGCACCAATCTTTCCCAGCAATAATCGACTTAATGAAGGGTAGAAGTAGAAGAATAAAGAAGAGGAAGAAGGAAGAAGAAGAGGTCAGGAATAATTTAAGGAAAAAAATTTTAACTTTCCCTCAACTCTGAGAAAATAACATTCACTTTGTGAGCTAAGAGAATGACATTCTCTTAGCTGATTGCAATCACATTCCTTTTTTATTGTTACAAACCAAATGCTACAAAATCATTACAACCATTTAACTTGTAAGAAATATCTTGCACTTTCCTAAACCAAACACCCCTGAAAGAATTTGTTCCTAAAACTTTTACCCGGAAAAAGCCCAAATTGGATAACGGTCTTGGTGACATGAGAAATGAAGGAGGGCCCAAACCAAAACCAAAGCTTAAAAACGAGCCAGAAGTTTGCCTAAGGTTTGAAATCATTACACGTAAGCCGAAGTATAGAAGATCCAAACCCCGCCCAAATCAGACGATGTGGATTTTTTCAATTTTCAAAAAGGAAAGGAGACGACACATCTGTTTTGTGACTAGTCATTTCTCCACGTCTGTGGATAGAAACAGGTTCCCCTCTCTGCCACGTCAGCCTCTCCTCTTCTCTCGCTTCAAAGCATCACTTTCTTCCTTCTTTTCATTTCTTCCCACACTATTTTCCCTGCAATTTTTCCCGCAATCCAAACTCCAAAAGTTTTCCCATTGATTACCTCGCAATTTGTACATGTCGATTGAATTTCACCACCGCTGCTTCGTATCTTTAAGGTAATTTAAAATTCTTCCTTTTTTTTTCTTCTTCTTAATTTTCTGCTTTCACTTAACGATCTTTTAATTGTGGTTTTGGCTGAGTAATTTAGATTTTTATTTGTAAGAATTGCGTATAAAATTAACCATCGAAACTTTTTAAATAGTTTTTCTCGTGAAATATTTGGGGCCGAAAAAGGCAGATTAAGGCGAAGAAGAATCGAACTACTTTAGACAATTTCTTGTCACTTAATTGATTAATCGATTCTTTTAGGTTAGCTTTCTGTCGAATTGTTCCCTTTTCTTTGCAAGCCAAACAGCTCGATAGCTTTTCTTGTTTTTTTTTTGTTTTCATTTCCTCCTTTTTTTTTTTTAAAAAAAGGGAAAAAATAGTACCAAAGCTCATTGCAGTGTTTGTTGAAAGCAATTTTTGTTATTTAATTGTGCTTGTTGACATTTAAGTTTAACAATTAAGTGAATTATTTGTGAATTTAGTGATTCACTTAGAAATAAGAGGCTGTTTTACTGAGATTTTAAGTTTAAACCTTTTAAATAGACAATGTGGTATTAGGGGTTGCTGCCAAGTTGAAGTTCAAAAAAATAAGTTGCCATTGATCATATTGTTGCTAATTCAATTGAATAAATGGAAGAACTGTGAGCTGCCTACTGTTGTATAGATTAAACTGGAAACCCTCTAGAAGGAGGATGAAAAGTAATAAGAAAACGCACAATTCTGGGACCTAACATCCCTAAGAAATAAGTTGTCTGCCTGCACTTAATATTTTTTTCTTTTGTGAATGCTGTGTGAAAACGCTTGCTTCTTCCTGGTTCTGGTGTTCTAGCAGGTCTTCAAATCCATGGATTTCACGGAATTCGTTTGGAGCCCATGTTTGTTGCAAAAGAATTGCTAACTTGGATTATCTGTTGACAAATTGGGGTAATTTGAGGAAGAACTGTCTTATCCGGCAGACTTTGTCAGATAGTCACAGGCTGGTGGCTTATAGGAAAACTTTTTCAGCCCTTTGTAAATCAAGAAGGAAGGGACTCCATTCTCCTCTTGCATCAGCTGAAGATGGTGTTACTGTCAATGGAAGTCCACAAACAAGTACAAGTACTGATGTAGATGAGATAATGGTCAAATTAAATCAGTCACTGCAGGGTGAAGATTATAGTAATGGGCTTGTTCAATCTCTACATGATGCCGCCAGGGTTTTTGAGCTAGCAATCAAAGAACAAGGCTCATTATCAAAAATGTCTTGGTTTTCAACGGCCTGGCTTGGTGTAGATAGGAACGCATGGGTGAAAACACTCTCTTATCAGGTTTGTTGTGGTTCATTCTTTGAGCTTTTATTTATGTGTTTAATTTGATGCTTGCTTTAGTTCTACCAGCTCTCATGGTGTGGTTCTTAGAAGAATTATTTGTCATTTTTTCTTTTATAATGTTGTTTATTTATTTTAAATATACAGTCTCCTCACCCAACTTAGAGGTGTGACTTATTATTTTGAGCATCTTTCTTTTTCTTTATTTATTTACATCTAACCTTGTTTAAATAAATCAGCACAGTTTTAAAGCATTTTATTTTCTTATGCTAATACACACATAAATTATGTATGTTTCCATCTCAAGTATCATTTAAGCTACCTAAATAATCCTTTTTTTTTTTGCTCAGGCTGCTGTGTATTCCCTATTGCAAGCTGCGAGTGAGATTTCATGCCGGGGTGATAGTAGAGACAGGGATATAAATGTTTTTGTCCAAAGAAGGTACTGCATTGCATGTCTTTTGTATGTCATGTAGCTCATTGATACTTGTCCCAGATCTTGTTCAAATATAGGCCTTTTTGTTGCTGTTCAAGTCTTTATAAACACACAGACACGTGTATTTACCTATTTATCACAAGTATCATCAATTTATATAAACACTTTTCATCTTATTATGCAATAAGAAAATCTGATTGTTTTTTCAACTTTGATATGGTTTGTGTTATAATCAGCATTTCAAATTACAAATTTGACAATGGGGTCTTAATGATTTAAATATCTAAGTTGGTCTCCTCTGGTTGTTACATAATTAGTTATTTCTGTAGAACAAAATGGTAAAAGGCAATTATGCTGTGTTGTGAAATGTGAAGTGGATAATGTTTGGTAATTTAGGAGCAATCTTTTGTGCTTTGCTTTAATCATGGAGGCAGACTATGTAATAGGTGGCATTAGAAATTCATTCTATGAAGTTTTGCTGAAGGAGGCTTATTGTCTTTCTCTGCCCTTTCTCTACTTTTGTAAAAAAACTCTGTTTCTATGATGGTCATTATTGTATTTTTAATCAACTCTAATCGTTTAGTTTTCTGCGAACTTATTTTTATTACTTCCCTTTTCATATCGAATTTTCAGCATCTTCTAATAATCACATTGGTGCAGTTTGTTGCGTCAATCTGCTCCCTTGGAGAGCTTAATCAGGGAGAAATTATCAGCTAAGCAACCTGAAGCATATGACTGGTTTTGGATTGAGCAAGTTCCAGCTGTGGTTATCTCTTTTGTACATTATTTTGAAGGAGATCTACGGTACACTGCTGCCACTGATGCGTAAGTAATCACCTCCTTGCTTCTTCATGTGAGGCTCTCTATGAAGCTCTTGATACTTGTGAAGGTTGTGATGATATGCTAACTTTTAATATGCTCCCAGGTGTGGGAAAGGCAAGCCCTTGGGTGCAGGAAGTTCAAGTGACAAAACTCTTCTCATGCTTGCGCTGACTTGTGTTGCTGCGATCACAAAACTTGGTCCTGCTAAAATTTCCTGTTCTCATTTCTTTTCCATGATTCCAGACTTAAGTGGTAGACTGATGGACATGCTGGTTGATTTCATTCCCATACACCAAGCTTATCATTCTATAAAGGATATTGGTCTATGCAGAGAATTTCTTGTCCATTTTGGTCCCCGAGCTGCAGCATGCAGAGTGGAAAATGATCAAGATTCAGAGGAGGTTATTTTCTGGGTCGATCTTGTACAGAAGCAGCTGCAGCAAGCTATAGATAGAGAGAAAATATGGTCAAGGCTAACAACATCTGAAAGCATTGAGGTTTGGAGTGAAAGTTTATGTCTAGATTTTGAGACATCCTGTTGTCTTTTCATCCTTTAAAAATGGCATCATGGTCAGAGGTTCTAAACTAAGCTAAGAAGTCTATATCTGTCTAGGCTGAACATGTTAATATGAGATTTATAAGGCTTTAAACCCCACATCTATTTAGAAAATGATGGATAAAATGCAAAAACATGATGATTCAAGGAGGAAGTGAAATAATTTAAAGTAAGCTGGAGGACTGTTACATATCACGTATGTAATGTATCTCTTTTTATTTATGTAGAGGTTTTCATTGAAAGTTAAATGAATTTCCTGCAGGTCTTGGAGAGGGATTTGACCATTTTTGGGTTCTTTATAGCCTTAGGCAGAAATACACAGGCTTTTTTATCTGCTAATGGATTTGATGTTATAGATGACCCTGTTGGAGGCTTCATTAGGTATTTTCGAATACAGCAACTTTTTCCCCCTATCATGATTGGATTGGTTTTCAATGGTTAAGTTGCACATTTAATTTAATGTCCTTTTTGTCGCAGGTACCTAATAGGTGGCAGTGTACTATACTATCCTCAACTTTCATCAATAAGTTCTTACCAACTGTATGTAGAGGTCAGCATGCATGGTTGTATGGTAATTACCTTTTGAAAAATATGTTTCATGATGGAATACAATGTCTCATCATACTTTTTAATCCATTAGGTTGTGTGCGAAGAGCTAGACTGGCTTCCTTTTTATCCTAGCAATGTTGGCACAGCAAAACAGTCTCATGGTCTTAAAAGTCAACGGGAAGGTCCTCCTAATATTAAAGCTATTTCCCAAGCGTTGGATGTTTGCTCTCATTGGACGCAGAGCTTTATTAAATACAGTAGATGGCTGGAAAATCCTTCTAATGTTAAGGCTGCAAGGTTCCTGTCTAGAGGGTAAAGGAGTTTATGGTTCATTAGTTGAAAACCAATTTATAGCTGATCTCTGTTAAGTAATTTGAAGAAAGCATTGCTATCTTTATTGTTTAGGCACAACAAGTTGATGGAGTGCATGAAAGAACTCGGGATACCAGAGTAAGTTATGGGTGCTTAACCTAACGTAGTCTTCCCCTGCCCCCTCCCTTCTCTCTCACACACAGAACTCCAACCAGTCAACCACATGAGCGTGCAAACTCATATGCAGAACACATGCATGCTTGCTATGATTTTTCATACATATAATGTAGATCCCATTTTAAAAATGTCTATCAGTCAATTGAAAATAGGATACATGTCAACCAAATAAATTATGGCCACCTGAAAATAAGTTTCTGAGAAGAATATGAAAAACTGAAATTTTGATATCCATGATAGAAAATTTCTATCATTTTATATATATATATATATATATATATATTCATTCATTTATCTGCAAAAATTAGGAAATGCATTTATGCTTATGAACTTATAGCAAAAACTGAAGTGAGTAAATATACAATTAAACATGATTAGATATCTGAAATTAGGAACAATTGAGAGGAAAGAAGGTACAAGCTTTCTGTGTTTGAGATGGAGGAAAGGCCTCTAAGGCACACTGCAGAAATAAAAATTCAAGAAAGTTCACGAACGAGCTATTTATAAAAATGTTTGCAGAGGATTTTAGAGGGAATACCTTTTCCAAGACTTTTTTGGGTTTCAACAGGGACAATTCTCATCCTCGTGTTCTCTTGGTCATTTCTTTGTATTTGCTGAATCAATAAAATCAGTGCTAGTTTTGGGGGCATCCAAGTACATTATGATGTGGTTTGTTATGATCTTACATGGACTTGATCCAATAAGATGTTTGTTTGATGTTGCTGATAGTTCATTAAGATGCTCAATCATCTCATAGGCAATACTTAATGCTAAAACAAGGCAAAGAAATTCCCACAGACTTAATGAATATTTGGCAGTGTGATTCAACTATAGGGCAACCTGTTGCTCTATTACTGGTCATGGGTATGCATTGCCGCCGTCTATTGTCAATAGCTGTGATATTTCTTTATCTTTCCAGTATCCTTAAATTTGTAAGATCTTTGTATATATTTTTTCCTTCTTTCTCCCTTTCTTTCTGCATTATAGAGCATCTGATCTTGTTGATGCTAGGGCAACCACAATTGTATTTTATGTGATTTATTAATGCTAGCATGTACTTTGCATTTTGTTTGTACTTTTTTACAGGGATGATTTTCATTTTATTTTTTTATAGTTATTTTATTTATTTTTAAGTTGTGCAAAAAGGATATGGTTAGCACCAGCTTAGTCACTGCATATTGTGTTTACTACCTTTTAACATATTCTTATGGTAACAAGTGTTCATTGGACATTGGCACTTTTTTTTTAATGATTGCTAATTGCTAATTATACCTCCTGAAAAAATGTGATGCAGAAGGGAAATGGTGGAGACAAGTTCTGTTGGTAGGACTGGATTAGCAACAGACAAAGAGTCAGATTCCTTTGACAAGGTTCTCCCTTTTGCCTTTTGAAACTAAATTTGTAAACAAATAATATGCAGTTTGGAACTTGCTACTGTGCCTGTGCTGGTGCTAATGGTGAACGTTTGAGTCACAGTGGGCATATGCTTTAGCTAGATCTGTTCTTACTGCTTCCTCTTTTTGCTTATGAAACTTAGGATGTCAAAGCATTTGTACTCACAGAACGCTTGGATGATGTTACCACATCCCATCCTTTTTCTTGGTTTTGGCTTCTATGTGCACTAGATCTTCTGTTGTTCAGCTGCATTGGTAGATAGGCTTATTATTTGGTTTGTTTTTCATTCATATACATGAGTAAGAGAGCGAACAGATGATAAAATGTCTTAATTAAAGCAAAAAGAAAATAGAAGTCCCTGAAATTTTTTGGTTGTAGTTTTTTCTTTGAACAACAGAGCACCACTGAGAAGAAATGATGATAGAAAATCCATCAGAAACACATACAAACTAGAAGCATAAACATGGGAAAATTGCTATCTAATATAGACTAGTAGTTGTTACAAAGTCATTCTATCAATCAACTGTACTGCAGCATAATGTCCTAGGTTGATCTTTAGATAACTCAGAACCATGTAACCATTTGTGTTGAATTCAATTATTTCTAGATTCATGCTGCTGGAATTTAGCATATGTTCGAAGTAAATGACATAGTTGCTTTCTTCTTTCTCATCTTGCTGTCTGTTATGACTTGTCTGAATGGGACTGTTGCTCCCGTAGTACCCCCAGTCCATGTGTCTTTATTTTAATCAACACATGAGTCTTTATTTTAAACTTGTTAAATGGTTCTGATAATGCAGTGACATTATGTTGGTTTCAGGCATTAGAGAGTGTTGAAGAAGCTCTAAAAAGACTGGAAAACTTGCTTCAACAGTTGCACGTTTCAAGTTCTTACTCTGGGAAAGAGCAATTAAAAGCAGCTTGTTCTGACCTTGACAAAATAAGGAAGTTAAAGAAAGAGGCTGAATTTTTGGAAGCATCTTTCAGAGCAAAAGAAGCTTTCTTTCGACAGGTTTCTTCCTAGTCCCCCCCTCCTCTTAATAGTTATTCTTGTTTTTGTTGAATACCATGTATTCTAGTATGCCTTCAATATGCATTACTCTACTTTGTATAAACTCTCTTGTGAGTTCAACTTCATGTGGATTTTGTTATAGTTTACTGCAAGGCATGCCGTTGCTTCTTTTTTCCTCCCTGAATATTTGTTGTTTTTATTATTTTCGCTCCAAGCTACACCTAGTTCAAAAAAAAAAAAAATCAAAATTTTTATAGCAAGACATCAGCTAGAAATCTGCAGTGTCAGCTGTCTAGTCTTATTCTTTTGTGATATAATCCTACCATTAATATCAATTAATGGCATGATGGCAAGATGTCTTTTCAGTGCCTCAAACAGCAGAAAAATGCTTGCCTTTTGCGTCAATAGAAGTGCTCTTGGGGGCATGGCCAAGAATATTGACATCAAAGCAATTTTATTGCTATGTGTGTTTGCAAATTAGGATAATTTATTTCATGGCTTTAGTTGCAGGGTAGCACTACATTTACCATAGACTACAGGACTGGCTTTTCCATTTTGGTAAATTATTGGGCTGGCTTTGCAACAATCTAAATAGTTGAGTTCAAATTGAAATTAAGGTGAAAATTATGGAATTTTTTTTTCATGTTATGTGTGTTAGATTTTTAAATGGCGCTTCATGCCTGAATCTTGTATTTATATACACCCTATACAGCATTTTGAGAGCTTAGTTCATGTAAAGAATCATTTTTCTCATTCAGGATGATGGTGATGGTAGTTCTCAGTCCTCTGTTGGTGAGCAGCAACAGTACCCAAAGACAAAACCCAGAAAGAGTGCTACTGTAACAAATGATAGAAGTAACAGGTAGCAACTTCTGCAGTAGACTATAGCTGTTGTTTACATTCTTGGAACTGATGTTAAATCCTAATTCAATTATATCAGGGTTCTGCTACTCTTGGCTCTTTACTTTATCTTATTTATTATATCTTTTTCCTCTTAGAGTTGTCAATAATTCTCGTGGATTATGGAGCTTGTTAACACGCCCTCCAATTAGGAACCCTGACACTCAGTCATCAGCTGTCGAGAAATTGGTATAACTTGTCTTAGCAAGTAGCATTTGACATTTGTTTGTCATGTTGTTCTTTTTTAGTATCAGACTTGCACTTTATTATGCTGTTGGAATCTGTTGGCATTATCTAATAAAGCTATTTGCAATTTTGTTGCATGCAGGGGAATGAATTTATTGAGGAGAATACTTCAAATATTTGCATTGCTGATTCAGAACAAAATGAAATCCGTCGTTTTGAGCAATTGAGGAATGAACTAATTGAGCTTGAGAAACGTGTTAAAAGAAGTGCAGATCAGTCAGCATATGAGGTGATATGGCTCAACCTGCAAACCAGTTATACTTTTGTAATTTCACTATAAAAGATTCCACCGTTATAAGAACACGAAACATGTTGATGCATGATATGCTATGGACCTTCACAATGGCTTGATTCTTCACGCATGCTTTCTAATTTGCTTTTCCTTTCTTAACTTTATTCAGGATATTAAGGTTAGAGAAGGTAATCATATCACTACTGATGATGCTGGTTGTGCTCAATTGGTTGAGGTCCAGAAGAAAGAAAGTGTCATTGAAAAATCATTGAACAAGATAAAAGAAACAACCACGGTATGAGTATCTTGAGGATTTCCATAAATCAAATATTATTTTTGTATAATTAGCACTTGTGGTCGCTCTAGCTTTAATTCACATGCATTCTTCCAACTTTCTGTTGAAACTTTTTTCTGCTTATTTTCAATCACTACAATTTTCTCATGCCCAAATTTAGTTTGACCAATTAAACTAATCTTTCTTTTAATACTTTTCTAAATTACCCATGATAGAGCTTATTTGGATTGGTTTAAGGCCAGAGGAACTTTCTGCATCTTAAAGTTTAACATATGATTTTTTTTCTCTAGTGATACCTCATAAACTGTACAACTGTTTAGTGCCTAAGTTGTCTCCTACTGGCATCAAACATGTTTAAGCTCGTTTTGTGAAAACTTTGGTGATACTGTCTGCTCTAAATCTGGTTTCTGTTTTTTATTCTGTATGCTAAAACTGTTTCTCTTATTTAAAGTTAGGATGCTTAATTGTTTTCCGTATCTCTTCTCTGTACTATATGACTTTGATATGGGAATATAAAACATGTTGAAGTAGGTTTTACACTTACGGTAACTATATTCAAAATAACTTTGTGGATAGCAAATGCATTTTTTTCCCTCTTTTTTGATTAAAGCTGAGAAGATTTATAAGCCTAGATTTTTCTGATCCCCTGATGAGGTCACTTTGTTTAATGTTTAGTTTTAATTGTTTGAAATTCTTCATCAATATGTTATGATTGAATACTTTGTGCTGTATACAATCACGGTTTCAAGTTGAGAACTCATTGCCCATTTTCTCTTGAATGCTATCATCTGAGTCATTTACCAATGAGCAGGATGTCTTCCAAGGAACTCAGCTTCTAGCCATTGATGTTGCTGCTGCAATGGAGTTGCTTAGAAGGGTCTTGATAGGGGATGAATTAGCGGAGAAAGAAAAGAAAGCCCTCCAGAGAACTCTAACTGACTTAGCATCAGTTGTTCCAATTGGTGTTCTAATGCTTCTTCCTGTAAGTTCTAATACATCATTCTGTCAACATCGTGTCTGCCAATGCATTGTTGATCAATCACTTTCGTCTTTCTAAGTCCGCATGACAAGTCCATCATTGACCCTTAGCTTAAATCATCGTCTCGGGTCAATAAAGAGCAACAATTTTGCTAATAATTTGACCACATGAGTTGGGGGTTGAAATTTGAGTTCAGAGAGAATACTCTTCCTACTATTTTATCTGCAAGTCTTTGTTAACACAACTTTTCTTTTACTACTTCCAAGTTTCTCTGACATAAGTTTCTTTTTTTACTTGTTAACTATCAAAAGTACTGAAGCGTAAACATCTAGCAATATGGTATATCAGGTAAGTACGGTTTGATGATCCTTAAATGAAAAGAGAATTAATAAGGGATAGAGCCTCAATCACCTGTACACAACCAGAGAAAAATACAGCTTTTTGCTACATTTCCAGTCTCCTTTTATTTACACTTTAATTTATCATTGATATATTGTGCCTTAAATCTGACGGATGAATTGTGTCCTGCAGGTTACTGCTGTTGGGCATGCCGCCATTTTGGCTGCCATTCAAAGATATGTCCCAGCTCTGGTGTGTCATCCTTCTTGTTTATGTCTTGCTTGAGGTGTTGAACCTCTTTTTCTCAAGCTTTAACAATTTGTTTCATGGCAGATACCATCCACTTATGGATCTGAAAGGCTAGATCTCTTGAGGCAGCTTGAGAAAGTGAAGGAAATGGAAACCAGTGAAGTGGACTGTGAAGAAAATTTGGAGGAAGATGCCTGAATAGCAGTTGAGATCTTGTACAGCCCTTAAAATCGAAACAATCCTCATATAGGGTAACAGATGATTTCCATTTTTGTTTCTTCTTTTGGTCTAATTCTCAGTTTGGTCATCACTTGGTTCTAAATCCCATTGACACAAGGTGAGCATAGAGAAGTTCATTCCATGTGTCTGGTATCCCAGGTAGGCACCAATGGCTGCAGTCTTGTGGAGCATTAGCAGGAGTACCTGGCTCACGGTGCCTTGACGGGTGACCATCTTTCCTGAACTCTGTCAGATATGTAATGTTTAACAACTGAACCTTCCAGTTCCCATATTTCATTTGTTTGATTACATCAGAAATGTATTTATTATTCCATGGCTCAGCCTTAAGCATCGTGTAGTTTTCTTCTGGTTCCATTTCAGCATCACACAGGCCCCCTTCATTCCATGAGCCATTCCTGCACTTCACACATAAAATACTCGTTAAATTGCTGCTCTTTAAGCTGTTATTTTCCAAGAAATAGATTGAATATATACTCATTAAAGTAAACCCTCACACATTGATCCTATATTTGTCCTGTAAATGCAGTCATTTAGCTCATGCAATAATAGATATAGCCATTGCTGGCACTTTAGTAGTTAGGTACTCGAGTTCCTAACTGCCATATTCGTAAAAAGATAAATACAAAACCCAGGACCCAAAGTTTGCTTACCTGTAATGTACTGGTGAATAGCTGCGGAGAAAAACGTGGCTCCTTTCTGGGTTTAAATTCTTGGTCGCCCATGACTTGATTGTTTGGAGAGACCTTCGAAACCCTTCCATCACATCCATTGTCATGTTCACTTTCCCTCCTTGCTGAAAATAACAGCCCCTGAAAAATGCAAATGTCTGTAATTTTCTTGTGGCAGATAAAGGCAGCAATTGCTATCAAGAAACGGAGGCCATGGAGAGCAAGAAATCCATACATCTTAACAGTTTTCTCCTTATTCCACCAGTGCCCTGTATTGAGGACTAGAACATTTGCCCCCGCCCAGCGTCTGGAATACCAGTGCAATTCGTCTACCCTAATGGTTACTCTGACATGAGCTGGGGAATCTTTAGGCGGGCGATTGATGATAACTAGGAAAGGTGTTCTGTAGTATTCAACCGTAAGGTTGTAGTCTTGGACTTGATGGAAAGATAACCTTTGTGTTTGTTATGGGGCTCCCATTTTCTTCGAAAATTGTAGACCGGTTGTTAACTGCCTGAGCTAGCATGCATATCAGGGACTCCCACTGGTTTCTTCCGATGGAATCGCCTGCGAACACCACCCGTCCATTTCGACTCCTTTCCAAGAATTCGCTAGCATTGAATCTGAGATTGAAAGAAAAGAACCAAAACAATCCGAGGGGTTCAGGAAAGGGCGAGCAGAAGGCCAAGAAGTGGTATGATAAAAGGCATCAGGATCAGATGTTCATATGAATGGTTAGGGATTAAAAAGAAGAGCACATGCCAGTATCTGTCCATCAAATAGTTCAGCAGAAAAGATAAAACTTTCGTTCAACATTATTTGTAAGAAATTATCCATGAACACAGAAAGAATCTTAGCTACAATCAATCTTGCAGTCTTATGAGCGCCTGAGAGAATGCACCAAAACCATAACGCGCGAAAGAATGAAAGAGAAAGGAAAGAAAGGGTAAGGACAAGGAAAAGAAAGGATAGAATCACGCATGAACAAGTATCCTTTACAAGTTGTCGATAAGCTTCATACCTAGGAAGGTCACAGCCATCGGGTTGCCATCTCCATTTCAGATACTCAACGTCTGTTCTTCCATTCTGACGACAGCGAAAACCAGGATCAAGAAACGGGCAGTTTTCATCGTACAACTGAATTGGATAATTCTCGTCCCGAACCCATCGGCCATAAGAATAGTCACAAGCTCCTAAGGATGGTCTGTGTTGGTCTGGCTTTAGTTTCTGAGGGAAGAAACCAAAACGGCAAAAAACGAGTTGTTCTGAGGAGCCGCCGAGGTTGAAAACAACGACAGAAGAGATTAAGATGAAGACAAAAAACAGAGCATAGCAAAGTTCTCTCTTGATTATGACAGGGGTAGAGGGAAGTTGGTGCCTTGTTGGAGTCGTCACTTGATCCATAAGAAGAGGAAGAAGAAGAGTTTTTACTTTGAAAGAGAAACGTATAATAAGAGCTTTGGGGTTGTAAATTTGCTTTGCTAATTATAGGAGGTTTTGAGAAAACGTGCACGACGCACCACTTTTCTCATTACTTGTGCGCTGGATGTTTATGTTTTTATTGTCAAGAGTATGAATTCAATCTTAGTACCCAGATAAATATTTTTAATTAAAAAACCAAGTTTATTGAAAAGTTTAAACACTCATCTTATCTTCTATTTACTTAAAGTTCATAACATAAAAATTTATCTATCGAAATTTATTGGTCAGTCAATACTCTCTTTCAATGTTATCAAATTCATAATTGTCTACCTATATATTTCACATACTTTGGAGGACCAAGCTAGCTTATTTAAGATAAGGATATATTTATTTAATACTTACAAACTAATTTACACAGTTCCTCCTTCTTACAATGTAACTTGGCTGTTGAATTAGCAATAGAATAATTTTTTTTTTTGCTACAAAGAAGAAAGTACAAGGGAGGAGACCAAATTCGGACTTAAGACTTTAAATAAATAAATATATATATATATATATATATATATAATTTGTTCATTAATGCTAACTAGTCTAAGACTTAAAGAGAGACATGCCGAAATTCTAAAGATGTATTGCTATAAGCATTGTTTAATCCTTCAAATATTATGCGCTAATCTGCATTGTTTATTAAACTTTGTATTTGCTAATTGGAAATCCTATACTCCTTAGTTTGTTTGTAGAATATTCTTACATTGCAAACCTGTCCTTTAGATTATTATTGTCATAGATATCATCATTGTTTAGCATCAAATTACAACCCAATAAATATGCAAAAATTGATGGATACAATTATCTTTCAATGTTAGTATTTGAGTTTGAACTACAACTTTGTCTTTCTAAACTACTATAACACTTACTTAACATTTAAGTCTTTTTTTATAATCAAATAATTTTATTGATAATGAAAATTAATTATAAGGAGTAACTCTCTTTTAGATAAGGAGATCACCTCCTCTCACTTCTGCAATATGTGTTGGGATGAGCTCTGCTGCCAATTGGGATTAGTTAAGACATGATTTTAATCATGCAAAAATATTATTCATGTTGAATGATTAGAAGTTTTCCTTCAATAAGACATCAATTATAATGAATTATAAGTTTAATTGGATGAAGTCCATGAGATTAATATGCCTTGTAAGGGAACTGTAATGGGTTGCGGTTACGAGATCTCTTTGCATCAAAGCATAATATCAAAATATTCATGGTCAATGTATCATTGAGATTGGATATCAATGACGCTTAGGGAATAGTATATTCTATGTTCTTTACTTTGAAAGTAAGCAATCGATCTTATAGATTGAAGTATATAGATATCTGGAACTAGAATATAGGTGCTTGCTTAAAATAGCAAGTTCACTGAACTTGACCCATCATGAGAAGTGCATTTAGTATTTCACTCAAATGTCTATGCAATACTTCTCATGTGTCAGTCGTGTAAATACTCTCTAAACTTGAGACATCAGGTTGTCTTATGTGTGGAATGCTATGCTTTGATTTCATCCATACGAGTAGTTAACCGAGGATGCCCAAACAGGATGCTTTTAGGTATAGCATGAAGCGTGTGAAGGAAAATGAATGGTCAAGATAAGAATCATTACCCTAAGTGATTCAAGGGATATATCCTAACTATTTTTGGTTGATATTAGCTTATTAGAATCCTTGGCCAAGGCGACTTAAAATTTATGAAAGGAGTTTCATAAGTCTTTATAAAGCTAATGATCAAACTTTAAAAACGAATATGGAGATCAAAAAGAGTAGGCACTACCCCATTCTCTTATCATCTTCGGGATATATGATGAGGGAATGAATTACACTGAAAGGCTGATCATTGAAAGGTTAAGTCAAACCATCTTGACTCTTTTAACATTGGGGTGGCTATGATGGATTGCTAGATCCCAATCTTGATCTATAATCTCTAGGTAGTTTACTTGATTAATGATAAATTTAAAATAGTTTAAATTTGTCTAATTATAAGTTTAACTTAAGAATTATATATTAAGTTAATTGCCAACATGCCGGAAGCTTAATAGGTCACACACTTAAAATGAATGTTGAAAATAAAATGAAAAAGGTGATTAAGTTGGACTTAATTAAATTAGAGGTTATGAGCTTGTCAAGCATTTGATTAAAATTGTTTAATTAAGTTATGCCTAATTAATTAATTGTTTAATTAACCCATTGGGTCTAATTAATTAAATTACTTTATTAAGTCATTAGGCCTAGTTGATTAAAATTGTTTAATTAAATTGTTAAGCTTAATCAATTAAATTGTTTAATTAATTTATTGGGCTTAATTGATTAAATTAAATAATTAAGTTAACTAAGCTTCTTATGGACTTAATTAAATTATTTAATCATATTATTTGATTAATTGACAATTACAAAATAGCTTTCTAATTAGGGTTTAAAATTAATCCTAAATATAAATACCTTGCTATAGCCTCCAAATAAATGAGAGAGAACGATTGAAAAATTAAGAGAATGGGATATTAGAATTCCTTTTGCCTTCTTGCTCCTTGTGTGAAGAAAAATAGTTTTTTATTCACTTGATTTCTTTTATGTGTTCAGCTCCAAAATTTTTGTGTGGATTATGAGTTTATGAAACTCATCTTTGCTAGTACATTGTTAAGGCATAGCACTCCCAATCCTTAAAAAAAGATTTTCTAATTCATTGGTGTGGATCACCATTAGAGGCTGCACCAAGACTCCTTGGACAGCTTTGGTTTGCAACAACCAAGCTAGTGTAGTTGAGCTTTTTGAAGGTTGATTTGGTGGTTTAACAAAGGATTCATCAACCTTTGTTATTTAGGTAAAGTGATATGATCATATATATATTATTATTAATTTAATTTTGTACTCAATTTAGCATGAAAGAGACCTTAGGAGGGTGAGGTGTAATTTAATTTTTTAAATTTATTTTCACTGCATTTTATTTGTATTTAATGCATGATTAGCCCTCACCCAACAATATGCACCTTTCAACCTTTCGAGAAACACCTACTAATATCCATCTAGATAGATAGAAACACACCATTAACTCCTTACACAATCCCATCCAAGAGTTGGATCCATTATATTACATGTGGAAAGAATAACTTAACCCAAAAAACAACATACTTTTATCCTATTATACCATATCCCCTGTTACAACCACAACACAATCAAGTTTACTGTTATTACCATGCACATGAATCAAACTTGGTGGTTTGTCTCTCTTTTATCACCCTCATTCTTTTCATGCACTTCATTGACACACATTTAGTAGATAAGGTAAGCAATTAACCACAAAATTATGAAGACAACATAGACCAATGAGTTATCTTAATGTATTAGTCAAGCTAAATCCATGTCACAAATGAAGACTCTCTTGTCACATTTCCTTTTGTAAGACAATCTGCACACCTTTTTGCTTGCCTAAACACATGTTGGTTCCAACATGTACATAGCCTATCAATTTGCTTAGAGCATCGATATGCTGAAACGCTCTCCAACATTTCCATGATCTGTTAAAAGGATTGAGAACCTAGCTCATAGCCATCCTTGAGTCAGATTTTATGACCAGAGCTTTCATCCCCATCTATATTGATTGGTTGTAAACCTCCAATGTTGTCTTAATAATATATAATTTCGCAAAATTTGAGTCACTTACCTGAACCTTGTTGGCCTTTATTTCTCCCTACTAGATTCGTCAGTATTGAATTGCAAGAACTCTTTTCGAAGGGGTAGCCATTGTACATTTTGTTTGTTCTTCGTATCAATACTCTTACTTACACCCTTAGTTTTTCTCGAGTTTGCCCACCATGTTGTCTCACAGATGGTTTTTTCTTTTTTCAAGGCTCTAATCCAATGAAGTGTTTGAACTTTCATTAAGGCTTTCAAGTCCATTAATCTCTATTCTATTACTCAAGCATAATTTCATTCATTAGTGTTAAGTTGTAATACTAGCATGGTTGCTGCAGCACGCGGATGCCTTTAAATTAACTTTGTTTTCTTTATTTTTATTAGTTTGCTTCGTTGTACTGGTTTTAAAGTTAATACCATTTTTGTGCTATCCCATTACATGTAAGGTTGTATGTAAACTTCTTTTACACTTGTTAAGCATGGTTACAAGTGTTCTTCATGTACAACATAGTATATAATCTCTGTGTTATCTTAATGAAAGATGCAATTACTTTACATTCAATCTCCTTTTTATTTTACTGCTTCATATCCTTTGATATTTTTCATTAACATGGTATCAGAGCATTCTTAGGATCTTGTTGGACCTGAGAATACTAAGAATCTTTCTTCTTTCTTTGTTGATTTATCTATTGCCATTTCTAGCTTGTTTTCACCTTCAGCTTTTCACATATCTCCATTTATATTTGATGAAAAAAAATTATCAAGTTTGGGCTATCAAGATGAAGGCTTTTCTTAAAGGTTATGACCTTTGGACAACCATTGAAATTGAAAAAAAACCTACTACTTTGAGAGACAATGCAACCATAAATCAAATTAAGCAATATTTTGAAGAAGTAGCAAAGTGATATAGAGATTTATCCTTTATTCAAGCTGCTGTATTTGAACAAATCTTTAGTAGGATTATGAGTTGCAAAATTACAAAGAAAGCATAGACTAAGTTTGAAAAAAAAATATCTTGGTACAACAAAAACCAAGCAAATGCAAGCTCAAAACCTTTAAAGAGAGATTGAGTTGATCAAGATGAAAGCGTCACAAATTGTAAAAGATTATATAGATCATGTCAATCATTTGGTGAATCAAATGAGGTTGCTAAAGGATGATTTGTCAGAAGCTAGATTTGTTCAAAAAATTCTCATCATCTTAGTGAAATATTTGAAGCAATTATTATATCTATAGAGCAAACTAAAGATCTGTCATAACTCACAGTATCAAAATTAGTTAGTGCATTTCTAGACACTAAG